GCTTTCTGGCTTCTGAGCTTTCTGGCCTCTCCGCTTTCTGGCTTCCTGGCCAAGTGCAATCGGAGGCAACTGTTATGCTTCCATCATGGTGTGAAAACGCAGATGTTCGCCTGTTGGAGGAAAGCGTAACACATTTCGTGCCTGTTCCACGTCCAAAGACATGTAACATGATGGCACATGTCAGTGCGTCGGATGCAGCTGTCACGCACTTCGAGCCAGCTACGCGTCCAAACATAGCGCGGCAAGGCACATGTCAAAGCATCGGACCAAACTGTCACACATCTCCTGCTTGTTTCATGTCAAAACATAATATTGTAACCAGACACATGTCAACGCGTTGCACGCAACTGTCACGCATGCCACACGTCCAAGAACAGTGTAAAAGGCACATGTCAATGCATCGGAGAGAACTGTCACGCATTTTCTGCTTGTTCCTGATCCGAATCCAAACACATTGCAAAAACTCGCTCATTCCCCACACCTAAAGCAACAAAATTTTCCCCCAATCAATTCTGTGCCTCTTGTGCCGCAAAGCTGCGGCTAAAGCATTGGAGCTTTGTGAGGTACAAGTGTCCAAGATGCAAAAGCAGCTTCTGCAGCGTGCGATGCCAAAGAACGCACAAAGAGGTTCCGAGCCAAGCGTTCAGAGGGAGCATTTCTACCTCTGCTGGAATCATGTATTCTGTTTGGAAGTGTGCAAAAGTGCAAAAATGGTCTCCAAGCCTTGCCAGTGCAGTCGACTCTGCAGCACGGAGTTGCCAGGCACTATGCAGATGAGAGCTGCCTGACGGAGCCGTCAAAACAAAGACGAATCAGTGCGTGTGTTGCATGCGGACAAGGTAGACATGTCTGTGACTCATCCGGAAGCCGCAGCGCTCAGAAACTTAAAAAAGGAGGTGTGGACCTTGGGGCTGGAGGCTCTAAGGTCCACAAAAGGACCTCTGCTCAGGTCTTTTTTGGCTGCGATCTTCCCGGAGGTGGCAATAGTAATTCAGCAGGCACCCAACATAGTCCCAAACGTGTGTGATGGAGTTCTGCTTTGTTTTATCATTCTGGCCTCCCAGTAGCCGTAGCATGAGCGCAATGCCGCTGCTGGCAACTTTGAAGAAGAATTTGTCTGGTAGCTTGGCAACATCAAGTGACATGTTGAAGCTTTTGTTGGTTGAGCATTGGTTCCAGAAGTGAGGCGGAGCTTTCCTCACTTCGATGGTCAAGCCGTCTGGTGGGGATCAGCCGCCCTCTGATGAAGAAGCAGAGCCCCCTCCGCTTCTTGACCGCATGAAGTCTCCGTCAAGGCTTCTCCTCTTTTGATTGGAAAGGTCTCAAATGAGTACGTGCTGCGCATCTGCTTCACATCCATCGCTCTTCTCTGGTGACATGCTGCTGGGTGAAGAATTGGGAAGGACCTACACCGAGACGATGTGATGCAACATGCAAGTCGCCGAGGTCGGGACCTCGAGTTGTCGATCTTGGCCAGGCAAGCAGTGATGCAGTTTCTGGCCTTGCATCCTTGCATCAACCTGCAGATAGCGTAGCTGTCATGGCAAGATGAGACACGGAAACGTGCCTCGCAGGGGGCATGGTGGATATGTGCTTCAGACATTTACGAAGTGAAGAGCTGAGCATGGCAGACAAGTGCTTGCTCTATGCTTGAAAGACAACTGTGCATTGCATGGAGTACTTCAGACATATGCTTTATTTGAAATGTCCATGTTTCAGCTGTTGCAGAATGGCTAGGTGTCAGGACTGCTTCCTGGGTCGGGGTAATCAAGAGGCAGATAGCTACTGCGAGGCAGCAACGAGCTCTACGAATTTGCCAGCCTCCAAGCAGACTTTTGCTGCAAGAAATGCGATGTGCCTCGTTCTGAATTGCATCCAGCATTCAAAGGGAGTGGTTGTCCGACCACTTACCTTCAACTTTGGATGCTGGAGTTGCGTCCTCATTTCAGAGAAGCTTCCCCGCGCTAGCTTCAGTGTAAGCTTCTGCCTGACCCATGTCGCGCAGGCGTTAGGCCAGGCGCTAGAGCAGTGTGCTCAGGCCAGATCTGCCTTCTGTACAGCCTCAGCTTGTTCCTCTTGCTTTTTTTTTGCATGACAATGTGGCTCCCTCCAAAGATTCTCAAGAAGGATCTGCTGCAGTAGATGTGTGCGAAATGGATCAGTAAACGCTCTTGCAGAATACGATAGTGGCAGGCAACAGGCAATGCTGAGGGCTGCAGTCGCAGCGTCAAGGCTTTTTTCCCGGAGGAGATGGGATGATCCTTTCAGAGATTGGAAGGCTCAGTTTGTGCTGTACAAGCCAACCCGGTTAGGAGATGCCAAGATTAGGAAAGCTGCGGTGGGACGGTCGGCGCCTGTCCATCATGTGCTTTGTTAGGCACCCTCTGCAACATGTGGATGTGATAACACTGGAGAGGTGATGGCCATTATGTCTTGGACCAGTTCCCCGGTGAGCATCCTCCAACTTTGGGTCAGGTCGGGTTGGAGGGCATCCACGGTATGTGGTGATGCTGCAATGTGCACAAGCTGGGCAGATCATTACTTACCTCAAGATCGTGGACTCTGAAGTGAAGATGTCCAACACGGTGGTCCACGTAACTTCTCAGCGAAGGCTGGAGAGTGCCTTTTCAAGGTCTTCCCATTTTCCCGAGTCTCCGGGAGCAGGGCTTTCTTTCAACAATGTGCTGCAGGCGTGCCGTCAGTGCTGTGCTGGCGGGGGCAGTCTTAGTGTTGGCTCGTGGCTTCTCAGCTGAGGCCTGCGTTCAATTTTGTTTCACAGAGGCCAGATAGACGGTTGAACGGTCTCAAACAGGGATGATGCGAACGCTCATGCTTCACCCACAGCTACTGCCAGAACCGTCCCCGCCTATCCTGGGTGGATTAGCAAGCCTCATTTCAAGTTTCGTGAAGCCAGCATCCCTTGATACACGCACCAGAAGAAAGGGAGGTGGAGGCGGTAACAGTACCCACCTGAAGCCCCTTTGAAATGCTTAGGTCATCCTGTACAACTCGCATAGGCATAAGACTCTATACCTATCAGTAAGCCGTCACTTATCGTGCAAGACAGGGCCTGCTGGTATGGGGCGTTCGCCAGACAGTCGTTCCTTGCAATTGTTTTGGGCATGGCAGGAAGCTTGGGAACGAGTCCTGGCAGCTTGTGGCACGCCAGAGAGCGACCCGAAGGCAAGCACCACCTCTCTCATGTATGGCAGATTCTGGGCGCCTGCCAGGCTGCATGGGATCGCTTCCCTCCACCATTTTCAAACACAGGCCTCAGGAACTGCTAAACTTTTCTGACCTGCAGCTGCCTTGGCGCTAGCAAGCGCCAGGCGAGACAGGACCTACGTCTCTGACTGTGTATGACTGCCTGCGAGGCGAGTCTGTTGCTGGACAGTTTGGACGTAACCTGCACAAAAATTCTATTTGCAGGCTTGGCAGTGGCTAGAGAAAAGAACTGGTTAGAGGAGACTCTTTGGCGACGCGCACATGATGATTCAGTTTTTTTTATAATTGTTGGTGCAAGGATTACCACCTCTTTGATGTGGAAGCTTGGAAGTTAATGCGAGAGAAGTTTGATGCTTCCTGGCTCATTCCAGGCAGGTTCCGCTTCCATTTCCACCGAGTGTGTCACAGCTGCTGTTGGGCAAGGTGAAATTTTAGCAATGGCGAATCCCCTGGGAACATCGCATAACCCTCGCTTCCCAGGGCTGCTTGAGCGAGGCTGGACACTGCTTGCACTTGCTTGCATTTGCTTGCATGGTATCCGTCATCGAAGTGCAAGGACCTCCGCCGGATCAGCAGTGGGATCCTGGATTACAAGGGCCCTGCTAGGTTATCACCAATGTTGAAACCCAAGGCTTTCGGCAGATTGCTTGGCGGCTTTGGACTCGAGCAACCTGCCCTGAGTTTGCTGCATGCGTGTTTGACAAGCATCTCAGTACCTGTGCTCGCAATACTTAGCCAGGTGGCAGTGTTGTGGAGGCCAGGTGGTTTTGTGGAGCACTTGTTGATTCTTTGTACATCCTCTTTGTCATCATTTTAGATGCATCATGTGCCCACACAGCGATACAAAAGAAGCAGGTTGATTAAATGTCCCTGCAGATCCTGTCCTTGGGTCAGTTTCTGCGTGCTGCCTGTACATGTATTTCCATTTGCAGGATCCCACAGACATCATAAGTCATGGATCCTCTTCAGGAGGCGTGCGGACAGTGGAAGTTCGGATGTTTGCTGCCAGTTCATTCGGATCTCAAAGTCTACACATTCGCAGGCGATGCTAGCAGTTTCATGAACATTCCGGTGCCCGACGAGATTTATCCAGGATGGATGCTTGCACTGCGCATTTTGTAAAGTGATGATGGCTATGACGGCATGCATGGTGTACTTCAAAGGTGCTGCCTGGAAGCTGCCCTTCTCCAGGTCCTGAAAGACTTGTAGATTTTAGTCTTTGGCATGCTCCTGACTTGCAGGTCAGCGGAGCATGAACGTCTTGAAGCAGACACCTTCATCTCCTTAATGCTTCGGAGTAAAGTTTACGAGGTTACGAGGCGGTAAGGGTGACTTTTGCAAGCAGTTTGCATGGAGTATCTACTACGCTATGACTGTGACACTTATCGTCTCGCAGGCTGAACTATGATTATGAATGCAAAGACCAGGACAAATACGAGAAGGTACCTTCTGTTCTGAACGCCTCGAAAAGTTAGCTGCACGTGGATGTACGCCAGGCCTTCTTGAAGCAAGGTGTTCGCGTGCACTACCTCCCTTTCACAGACGGTGACATACCTTCCAAGGTTGCAATCTGTGTTTGCACAGAAAAGAGCTTTGCCCTCATCGCCTCTGAGCACTGTTCGAATTTGCAGGCTGTTGTTGCTGAGTTCCTCAAGCAATGCTTTTGCCTCAGTTGAGTGTCTTGCAAGTGTCTCATGATAGGCAAGCAGTGCCTCAGGCAAGAAGGCTTTGAGCAAAGATGCCACCATTGCCCTTCATTGCATGGGCGGAATGGGCAGGCGAAATGCAAGTTCAGTGGGTGCTGTGGACAGTCTGTGTGTGGCAGGACGGGGGTTATGGCTGGCGTCCACCTCAGAATTGTTGGAGACGGACAGTAGCTGCTAGAATATGAGAGGCGAGTTGTCAGCATTTTGCATTTGCCGATAACTTTGACTGTGTGTGGGGTTCTTAGGGAGAGCTTAGAACCAGGCACCCACGCGTCGGCACACCACCGCGTAGATGGGACCCGTGCGTTTCTGATTCCATGCTGTATATTGTGATTGAAATGGCGTGGTGCCTTTCTGAAGGAGAGCTTTTCACGGATGGACCCGCATATGCAGACCTGGCACGGTGCAGACAGTGAAGCAGGAGGTGCTCTGATGCGCTTTTGGTTTCTCAGTTCAGAGTGGTTTGTGCTCGTGTAGCTACCTGGACTTCAAAAGGCAGTTCATGAATTGGATTGGGATAAGCTCAAGAGGGGTTTCAAAAGCATAGGCAGGTCCTGCTACGGTTGCAGTTGGCAGATCTTGGAAGCATTCCAACAGTTCCTTGCTAGTTGAAAGAAGGATTCAATGGGCCTGAAGACCTTGCAAGAAGCCCAGCGCCAGGAAAGAGGCTACGAAATGTCCCCATGGCCCATGGCACATGGCAGAGACTCCCTCTACAAATGCTTGACTACAACTTTTGATGCGAGTGGTACGTCAAACTCACCTACCTGCCTTGGCAGGTTCAGATCCGTAACCAAGAGATCAGCAATCCATAGGAAGGTTGCAGAATTAGCATCAAGGCTGAGTTTTTTGAAGAGATAGGTTCAAATGGTGTTGTGCCTGACTTGGCCAACATGTGCAAGGCACGTTGCCAGAGTAGGAATCGCCAACCTGATTGCAAACTGGCAGGCAGAAGCCATAAAAACTGAAGAGGTGTGGGAACACAACGAAGCTTCATGTTGTGCAACGTGAAGTCATGGGCTTCATCCTTGCACTGGCCATGGTTTGAGGAAGTACAAAACAACAAAAGTCAGCCCTCAAGACCTCTTTTATGGTTCTGTGCCACTTGCCCCTCTGGTGCGCGAAGCTTCTTGAAGGTCAAGTTTAGAGTCTGTGCTCCCACTGTGGCTCAGGAGTTCCTGCGTGGCTTAGACTGTCCAGAGCCCGTGCCTCGCGTGGTGTGCCAAGGTCTTTTCTTGAAGAAGCAAAGTTTGAAGGTTATGCTGTTGGAAGATGTTGGAAGGCTTTTTGCCTGTGAGGTTTCTAGCGTCAGGAGCCTGCTGGGACGAATCAGGCCGAGTATGCAGTTTTGATCAGTGATGCGGTTCCATGAATGAACCATCAAGCATTTGTCAGGTGCAGTACGGCCTGATGCCTTGGCTCCGAGTCTGCTGAGAAGAGAGTGACAAGATGCGCCACAAGATTGGATTCATTCTGTTTAAACCGCAGGAATCTTGCCATCTCCATCTCAGGATAGGATTTTTGAAAGCTGTAGCAACTGCACAAGTGCGCAAAGTGCACGCGTGCTTTTACTGTGTATGTGGATGTGTTCCAGGAGAGTACTGTGTGAAATGAGCTGTGACAAGCTGTGACGATCCTTTTTTCGCACTGTTTGCGGAAAGGCTTTTTCCCGGTGGAAGCTCGGTGCCTTGCGGACAAGGAAGAGCCGCCATAGCTAGGATCTTCCTACTCTCTCGTTTTTCCTGCGCTTTCTGCACCAACTGCGTCAAAGCAGTGCCCGTGCAGTTCGTCGCTTTGTAGCCCGACACCGCCTGGCCTTATTGACACATACTAGTACTGCTTTCAAGTGCAGTCTTCGCAGTTCTGTGCTGGCAGTGTGCTGGCCAATACGACTTGAGTTTCTATTCTGCTGGCATGATGCTGCTTTCAGCTGCAAGACGGTTTGCTGGCACTGTGCAGAAAAGAGTTTCTTGAATAAATGTTTGCGTGTCAGGGGACTTCAGCAATGAACGACGACCACAGCTAGCCTGTAGTCCTGGCGGATGAGGACATCATGTTGCATGGGAGTTGAGATGACGCACTTGTGAGAAAGTCCATAAGCACGGACTAAGTTTGCCAAAAACCAATGATGATGCTGTCGTCGTATTCTAACGGACCTGGGGGTGGGCCAGGACCTACGTATCCTGTCCAATGTTGGACCCTGTTTAGGGGGCGCCCCCTCAACAATTGACTGTTCTCTTTAATACGTGGCCAGCCTCCAAATTTGCCGCGCAATTAAAAACGATGAAAAACATGAGTCTCGGTAGTAGCCTTGAAGCTAGTATTCTTTTTCGTAGTAGTGCTAGTACTGGCACTACCACGAGCATTAACATCTATGTGAAACCGTATTAGACCAGTTGGAAACCTATTCAACCTGTAAAAACAATATTTAGATGCAATTAACAAACTAATGAAAACCAATTGGAACGCATGAAAATCTAGTGAAAACCATCTTCAAGTCTCATTACAGTAATTTCACAATCAACCCAAATCTGACTTGAATCAATTGAAATCTATTTCGAATCAAAGTACAGCCAATTAAGATATAATTCTTTGAAATCAATTTAAACAAGAAGCTATCCCGGTGACATTTAGGGGGCTGGAAAAGTGTATGATTTTTCCGACTCACCAAAACCAATGCTTAAAGAGGATCCAGACCTCTGCTGGACTAGCCCCACGAAAATTCATGGCCCGTATGTTCTCGTATAATCCCGAAAAGCGGTTAAAAGCGGCTTACATAGAGCTGGGCTCTCTGAGATTACGGATTTGCGGATTCTCTAACATCAGGCCTTATGGGTGAAGGCTCTGTTGCTAGCGTAAGAGCTAGACACCTGGAATGAAGATCCTTTACTGTAGGTAAGACTTTTTGCTTTTTCTTGTTGGTATTTTGGCCCCAGAGAATTTTTATTCCGACTCGCTCAAATAATAGCAGATTCAGAACGATCTCCCCGGAAACAAAATATTCGTCCGACCCCGTCTACCAAACCGTGTCCAACATTACCAGACGCATTAAAAAAGCTTGGTACACTTCTCGATTTGTGCGTGTCCCCGTTGAGGGTTCGGCAAGAGCATGCGTGCAGACTTGCAGCAGAAGGGAGGGCGAGCCTGCGGGAGCAGTCCACAGACCTGAAGCACCCGTGACAGTGCGAAGCATCTACCGGTGCCCGAGCCCAAACCTCCAAGAGCTGAGAGCATTGCAACAACCAAGAGCTATGACTTGAAAGCCTTGACTATGACTGTTCTTCTTCTTTGAAGCTCAAGACGCTTCGAGCCCAAAAACTGTTTGGAGGACTCATCCCGAGACAAAGCCATCACTCATGAGCGATGAAATATCTGCAGTTTCGCTGGCTCAGCAGCTTTCGACATCTGGTGTTGCACATGTCGATGGAGCAGGCTATCAAGAGCCAAGCCCTTGCATGCAAAGTGGAGACTGCCCAAAAGGGAAGGAGCACACAGCAACCTTGGCTTGGAAGATAGTAAGGTCCTCCAATGGCAAGATAGTTGGCGTAGTTGCATAGAAGTCTGCAGCGCCTGGCCAGCTGCTGCGAGGTCCAGAACATGTTTGTGTTCTTTTCTTGGACTGTCCGGATCCGTCCGGCCATCCCAAAGATGCCTTAAGGATGGGGCAATCTTGCCAAGCCTGCTACGGCGATCCCAAGCCGAAGAAGTTCGTGCTGCAGACCAGGACATGGCCTCGGCACGGGGCAGGTGAAAAGCTCACAAATCTACTCCTCAGCTTTGGGTTGCCCGCCAATGCCGTGAGAGAGGTTTTTATGTGTGGCAACCAGGGGCTGGCTTGGAAGACCTTACGCGAAAGTTCCCGATGGTGTTCGCCAAAAGCAATCTTGGGATTTCACGAAAGACATATCGCAAGCCATGCCTCCTTGTATGCGGTCAAATGCATTTCTTTTGCCAGGATTCTGATGAAGGTATCCCCCAATGATGTAGGGTTCTTTACAATAAACCCGCTCCACCCCCAGGGCTCCGGGTGGACCAATCTTGAAACAAAGGTCCGGAAAAGTGAATTCTTGTAATGTGTTTTCATTTGCAAGCCCTGATTTTTGCGGATTTTTAGGCCAGGTAATTTCATTGTTACCACAACCTTTATGAATGCACCCCCTGACTGCGCAACATGTGCATTGGGCATATCAAGCAAAACATGGGCTCGCAATTCAGATCAAATCAAACATGGAACAATCTCCGGATCACCACCAACACTATCATCGCCATCGCCACTGTCGCCACCATCACCGCCATCACCACCATCACCGCAACAACTATCACCATCACCACCATCACCATCACCATCACCGTCACCATCACCATCACCATCACCATCACCATCACCGCAACAACTATCACCATCACCATCACCATCACCGTCACCGTCACCGTCACCGTCACCATCACCATCATCACCACCAGCACCTCCACCACCATCAC